TGTGGGTTTTCTTTTTTTTTTTTAAAAAAAAAAAAAACATTCAAAAGCAATTAATGATCAGACATAGGAAAAACCTTGAATAGAAACAAAACTTTTGAATGCTGGATTCAGAAAAAAAGTTATCTGGACAGCTTCTTTGAGACTATTTAAAAACTGGTACAACAGGTCTCTACAACGTCAAGATCTAACTAAGCTTTAAAAGGTCAAGAAGTTTTATGGCTGACAAAGGATTTTCACCAGCACAGATGACCTTTACCACCTTAAGCTTCTGGGGATTTGGGAATTTTACCCCCGTTCTCTTCCGTTTGGCTGAGTTGCATCTCTTCTGCGAGCAAGGGCTGAAATAGTTTTGTTGTTGTGAGGGCGGTTGGGGGTTGTGAGTTTGCGCACAGCTCTTACATAAGGCGTGCTTTACTGGGCCGGGCAAAGCGGTTATTCTTTCTTCTTGGGTGGGTTTGGCTTTTGTTGTTTTTGTCTGGGTATGAAATGCAAATATGTGTAGCAGTAAAAAAAAAAAACAATCTGTTGCCATTGGGTCAATTCAGACCCCTAGCAACTCTAGAGGGGTACTTATTTTGACAAAATTGATTTTTCAAGAATGGAGTAGAAGTGACCAGCAACAACTGTTTTTCCTTCTCTTTTTGTTCCATTCAGAGAGAACCAAAAAGCACCCCTTCCATCAGCAAACCTTGGTAATAATAAATGCTCCTGGCTGGTTTGCAAACGTTTAATTTGGCCATTTGTTGCATTTAGTGAGATGATCACTACGAGCCATACTCGGGGGCTGTCCCCGACTTCATGTCATGTTGCCAGGCATGGAGGGGGTGGGGCTTCCTTTTGGTGAAACTGCCTTATGTAATAGTTTAGCTCCTTGGTCGCTACACCTCTTGAACGGGGTTTGGCAGAACCTAGTTTCTACCAGGCTCTGCCCAGTTCTGTTTCTGCAGCATTCTGGTGTATGCTGTGGTTGGTTTTGACCTTTCTTGGGGGTAATTATAAGTGTGTGTGGAGGGGGAGGGACAGATGCATTCCTGAAGAGTTATCCTGCTGTCCCTCATCCTCCCACCGTTCAATGGTCATTTTAATCACTTGGCAGTGTCACCACAGAGGAAGGAAACCCAAAACCAAAGGTAAAATCCCAGACCTGCTTCAGGCTTCTAAAATTTCCTGGTTCTTGAAGCCGGGCCAGATGAGACCCCCAGATGGGGTCTGCCATCTCCCAAGGCGAGTCATATCTTTGCAAGCTTTTTCTGGAAATCTGCCATATGCAGGTCTTTCAGACTTCCTCTTTCCTTGCCTATCTTCTTAAAAATTGCTTGGATTTTACTCAGGAAATTTTCATAGACGATTTCCCTTCTGATTTCCCCTCCCCCTCAGCCTTATACATATTACCCCTTGGGTTGCCCCAGTTTAAGAGCAGAGTGAGTTAATCTGTAGACAAGGGCAAGGGAAGAGAAGGAATTAAAATCTAGATAGTAAGAAAAAAAAAAAAAAAGATAAGGGGGATTTTTGGGTGCCATACAACTTAAGCAGGTCTAGCCCTTTCCCAGGGTTGACAACAGAAAAGAAGATGGGGGTCATGCAAGATATTAAAACATGGATAACCATGTTTATGTTAACGTTCCCCATTTTTATCTAGTGTTTTCATTATAGCTTTAGAGTCAACGCTTACCTGGGTGGAGTTGATAGTCAGTCTTGCTTCTTAGAAAGCCAAGTCCAGGGTTCCGTCTGGTTTTAGGTTCCAGGAAGTTCCTCGGAACATCAGATTCCAGAGGGTAATTTTATGGAGTTTGTTTTGCAGGGATAGCTGGGAGTATGGCCACCCTGCTCCACGATGCGGTAATGAATCCAGCAGAAGGTAATGTTTCATGGTCCCAGGGAGGGGCAGTAGGGAATGTGCAAAGGGGCAGGACAAAAGGTGGTGGGAAGGGGACTCCTGGCTCCCAGTTGGAACAAGCAGGAGAATTCTTTACGGTGTTATTAAAGGCCTCAAGAAGGGACGTGAGCATTCAAGCTTTATGGTCTTCTTGTTCTCCAAAACAGTGCTGCTCAACGTGTGGTCCTCAGACCAATAGCGTCAGCATCACCTGGGAGCTTGATAAAAAATGCACATTCTCAGGCCTGGCCCCAGACCAAGGAATGAGAATCTCTAAGGGTGGGAACTACACACACATTTCTGGCCCTTGTTAACCTTTATCAAAACTAGACGAATTTAGGAAGAACCCTTCAAAGGCCATTGTTAGGGCTTGTGTTAAGTTCACTTTTTAAATTTTTTGTTATTGTTGAGAATATACACAGCAGAACAGTGTTCAGTTCACTTTAAAAAAAAGTGAAATTCTTATTGTGGAATTTGGGTACCATACAACTTAAGCAGGTCTAGCTAGCCATTTCCCAGGGTTGACTATAAAAAAGAAAATGGAGGTCATGCAAGATATTAAAATGTGGGTAACCATGTCTGTGTTAACGTTCCCCATTCTTATCTCGTGTTTTCATTATCACTTTAGCGTCAACACTCACCTGGGTGGAGTTGATAGTCTTGCTTCTTAGAAAGCCAATTCCAGGCTTCGGTCTTTTTGAATTTGTGGAAAATTCAGACATATACACAAATGTAGAGAGAATAGTGTTAGGAACCCCCTTTGTGTCTCTTACCCTGCTTCAAAAATTAACATTTTGCCATTTTATTTTGGTGATCTGCACCTCACCCCCCCCATATTGTCTTTTTCTCTCTCTCTTTTTTTTTTTTTTTAATTTCTGGATTATTACAAAGCAAATGCCAGCTGTGAAGACTTGAGCTTGACATGTCAACTTTCTGTATACCCCGCTGTCCTTAGCCGACTCCGGTCTGAATAGTGAGGATCTTGTGGAGCTCGTACTGGGCATGTTTTAAGCTGGGTTATTCTCTATCTGATGGTGGCTTTAGGTGAGATGTGGAACTCTCTCCACCTTTCCCCTCCATCTGAAAATGGTCCCTTGCCAGAAGGGAGAATTGGAGATAAAAGGTTACAACATTTTCAACATTTTAACTCCTGTGTTTTAAGTTTGTCTATTTTTGTCTTTTAAAAATGTATTTGCTCTCAGCTGCCTGCCCATGTCCTAGCAGTCAAAGGACGCATTCTGACCTTCAGGGATGTCATCTTGGGAGGAGGGAAAGGGATTTCCTTTTCTCTGTGGGACTGAGGGTTTACCAGGATGTGTAGGTGAAGAAAGGTGCTATTTCACTTAGATTTTCTTATCATGTGCAGGGTGGAGGGACTCACACTTTTTTTACTTTTTATTTAGCAAGAGGAGTGCTCAGAAAGCCTGTGTTCTATTTTATCTTAGACAGTCATCTTTCTAAAGAGGTGTGACGGACTTAGCTAGACTTACCTGTCTTCTTGGATCTTCATGGCTTGTCCTGTAATTAGGTGTTCAAGAGTGTGCTTTGGGGCCAGGAAAGATTATGCTAAAAAAATTAACCGGTTAAAGGTATTCTTAGGTAGGTGGGGGAAGGAAGTCCCCCTAGGAAATAGTTCAGTGAAAAACTGAAAATTCTCAAATAGATAACACGTACTTACATATCTTGGGCTTTTTTTTTTTTTTTTTGGTGATTCATACAGGGACCTGGTGGGTGGCCAGTTAGCCCATGGATTTTGTTTATTTTTTTTAAAGGAGCAAAAGTGAGGCTCAAATCAGCCACCACCACCCCACCCCACTCCACCCCCACCACCCCTGCCTTCCCTGTCATTATTATTGACTTAAGGGCTTTATTTCCTTAAAAGTAAATAACAGCACAATGTATGTATTCATTTGTCAGTGCAAAGGGACCATTAAAGCTTTAAGCATAAGGGACTATAATTTGCCCTCCCTTGCCTCATGTCCTTTGAACCACCATTTGCTTTTGTATTAACAAAGCTAATGTCTTTATTGGAATTTGTTGTTGAACTCCTGGGCAAACATAATTCTAATGTCTCTTCCAAGAGTACTATGACACAGACACTAAAAACACTGTCAGAGGTACAGACCACACAAAGTAAGTGGGGGTAAATGAGCCCCGTAGATGGGTTAGGGACAAGGAGGACAGAGGGGCAGGCCAAAGGCCACTGCCTTTGAATCTGACAGATCGGGTCAGCTAATCCAGCCTGAAGCGGCTGCCAGGTTTACAGGCCACCTTAAACAAGGTTCAAGCAGGAAAAACTTTGGGAGATAGCCAACTTCCTGGCCAGGTTCTCAAGATACATTTTTAAATGGGGTTGCCTGCCTCCAGCGCTTGGTAGTTTCTCATGCTGGGGCTGTGTGTGTGCTAGCTCTTCGAGGCCATTACCAGTGTGTCTAACTTGCTGTTTCTCTTTATGGCTTGGCTTCTCATTTCACCCTGTCCTGGGGTGGGGCCAAACCGAACCAACTGACCGCCTGCTGCCCGTCCGGACTGCTGTATGGCCCGACAACAGTTGTGAAGCAACGCATGCAGATGTACAACTCGCCCCACCGGTCAGCCCTCAGCTGCATCCGGATGGTGTGGACGACTGAGGGGTTGGGGGCCTTCTACCGGAGTTACACCACGCAGCTGACCATGAACATTCCCTTCCAGTCCATCCATTTCATCACCTACGAATTCCTGCAGGAGCAGGTCAACCCTCATCGCGAGTACAACCCACAATCCCACATTATCTCAGGAGGGCTGGCCGGGGCCATTGCCGCGGCTGCCACCACCCCCCTGGATGTCTGTAAGACCCTCCTCAACACTCAGGAACATGTGGCTCTCTCCCTGGCCAATGTCAGCGGTCGCCTGTCAGGCATGGCCAATGCTTTCCGGACAGTGTATCAGCTCAATGGCCTGCCCGGCTACTTCAAAGGTGTGCAGGCACGTGTCATCTACCAGATGCCATCCACGGCCATCTCTTGGTCCGTCTATGAGTTTTTCAAGTACTTCCTCACCAAGCACAAGCTGGAGAATCGAACTCCATACTAAAGGAACAGACAGTGGGAGGTGATTCCAGAATCTTTTATTTTTAAAAGGCTTTCCCTGCCTGCTTCCCTTCCCTTGTCCTCACACCAACATTATTTTTGCAGGGTGGTCACTTTGGGCCTTCTGCTTCCTGATGCCTTAGAAAGGGGGAGGACGGGATGGTGGCCTACCTGAAGGCCATCCGCAGGGAGGTCTGAGGTGGTGTTTGTTGGGGAGAGACCTTACAAGGGAGGAGAAACTGCTTTTCCTCTTCCTCCCCTAAGAGGAATGTAGCTTTTCTGCTTCACTGTCACAGTCTCCTTCCAAGAATCTTAGAACACAGAGGAGGGAAGAAAATGTGCAGTGACTGAAAACATTAAAGACAAATTTTATGTATGTAAAAGTTCCAGTACACAGTATGAAATAGATGGATAATGTTTATCCTTTATTTTTCTACGTAGAAGTTTTTGAATTTGAGTGTGTGCCTGTGCGTGTGTACAAATAGTATTACAGCTGTGAATATACAGCTTTTTTTAATTAAAAAAAAAAAATAGGGCTAAATTCTTCCATCAGGTTAAGTAAAAAGGCACCAGAGTACCTGGATTAAAATCGTGTTTAGTCCCCAGATGGAAGTTTCACTTGAATGTAAAATAATAAATATTAAGTTTATATTTTGAATTTCTCTTTTCATGAAAAAAAAAAAAGGTACCTTGAAAAAAAACAGAATAATGATACATTACTTCCTGCTACTTCTCGTCCCCCGGCCGCAACTCCCCCGCCTTAATTCAGTCACTCACCTTCATATGCTTTTCGTCTTCCCTAAAAATTCCAGGACCAAAGATACAGCCCTGGAGTGTTCTCTCCTTCTGTATACACACACACACACACACACACACACACACACACACACACACACACACACACGCTGGGTGGCAGAACCTTAACACTGTAGTACGGTATTACTGTTACTAGTCTTGGGCCTACGGAGCCTTCCCTTGGTTGTGAATGGCATGAACCCATCTCTCCCTGGGTCAGCACTTATTAAGACCTTGAAATGTGATCCTTTGGCTGCTTGTGCAGGTAATTGGGATAAATCCCATCTTTATTCTTAAACAATTTATTTCCACATCAACCTTTTAACGGAGGTACTTCGGGTATCCTTGTCTATCTGTTTTGACTAAATCTCTTATGTTTTCCTATAGAGTTTAGGAGTTTTTAAAACATAGTAAATATATCTATGGCATATGTCTACACCCCTGCCCTGTCCTGATCATTCCTTCGCTTCACAGAGACTCTCATTTGTATAGTGACAGAAGCTAGCAGGCCCTTTAGCCCCGGCCTAACTGCTGAAGCCTAACTCAGACCCTCATGGAAAAGGGTGCCGTTTGGACCCATTCTTCAGCCTTATTAGGTCCATGTCACCTAAGAACATAAGGTGTAACTGCCTTGTTTTCTGAAGTGGTGTATCCCAAGTCAGATGATCCCTAAGAGAAAATACAATTCAATTACGCCATTTGAATTGCTGCCAGATGACTGTCTAGGGGAAGACTGAATGACTTCAGTTTCCTTTTATGAGCCCTCACCAGAGCCTGTCTTTAAAAATGAGCAAGAAGCACATGTGTGTTTTCATTTTGGTGGGTCTGAGTTAGGGAGTTCGTGCTGGCCGGGACCTTCCACCGCAGGCCCCGCCAAAGCCGTGGGTCTTGCTGACGCTCAGGCCCGGCCTCCTTTGGGTGGTGTTACTTCCTGGGAAGAGCTCAGGTTGCACATGGTGAATTTTCATCTTGGGACCACACACACAGTACCTCCAGGAGTAGCTTTCATTTTTGTTTCTGGTCTAACAGTTATAGGAAATTTTATTAAAACAACAGTCAGTTGACTTTCTTTTTCAGATCAAGGACAGGAGAGTGCCACCATGTGGGGTTCCTCCCACATGCGCCCCATGAGCAGGGCCTGGCTGCTGTGCTGCCCCACCCTGGAGTCATGCCTCAGTGGAAACCAGTTGCAGCATGCGCTGCCCCACTCTGGGATGCAGAAAGCCCCTGGGGACCATGTTGCTGCTAAAAGTGGTTTATACATGTCCTCCAAACATGTCTTGGGCTAGTGTTACATTCTGGGAATGGAGGAAAAAATTAGATAAAAATTTCTAAAGATTATCCAACCCCACATTTAGTCTACTTAAATGTGATAATGCCACCCTGCTGCAAAATCTTCCTTGTTACAGAATTTGGCTTTAAATGGTATCTAGAAAAGAAAACATTCACTTCTCTGGAAAAGCTACCATTGGTAGGGGGATACAAGAAGGAGAGGCAGGAACTGGAATTCAGAGTTATGTGGGCTGGCAGTCAGAAGGCCTGGTCTTGGCCTTCCTCTGTGTGGCGAGGGACCGATCTGTGGAGTGGGGTAACACCACTGTTCTGCCTGCCTCCTGGGTGGTTGTGAGGTTGAATGAGTGTTGCATCTAAAGATACTTTGGAAGTTGTGTAGCACTAGACAAATACAAGTGATCATTCATTTTGTGGGAGTGAATTTGCCACTCTTAGCCTTAGCTCTGAAGTTTGTGTTGTTGTTCCATGCAGACTGCAGTCCAGTTGTTGATTGTGACTTTGAAGTTGTGAGGTGCTAAACAGGAAAATGTTTTCCCTCTCCCCTGACAATGACCATCATAATATAATCATGGTATGTGTTTGGTTATTATTGCCGTTTGAGTGACATCTGCAGCCAAGCAGCGCCACATGAGTACAGTAGTTGTTTTGTTATTAGTTGCTGTCAAGTCAGCTCTGACTCAGGGCAGCCCCATGTACAACAGAATGAAACATTGTCCAGTCCTGTGCCATGTTAATAGTGGGTGTGTGTGTGTGTGTCTGTTTGCATGCTCTTCTCAGACAATGGTTGAGGGCAACTGCTTATAAATCAGAGTTTTACTTTCATTTTAGTACTTAAAAATAATTTTTTTCAAATGGGATAAATCTTCAGATCATGGCTTTCGTGACCTACATTCTATGTGTGGTTTCTGTTTCTTTTTCTTTCTTTCCCTCTTTTTTTCGTTTTATGTTGGTGTCTTATTCCAAGTGCTATACTCCAAAGTTCCCTGAAGGCGCATCTCCAATACATTGTTATGCCAATAAGGTTTTATTTAACTTTATTTAAGGATGGTTGTGCCTGTGAAATACAAATGTATTGCTGCTTTCTATCTGCAAGACGCACAATGTATGTGATGGGGTGAGTAAGTGTTATTTGTTAAATGCCTATAGTAAGTATCACTGTTTCTGCCTCTGAGTTGCCAGCTCTTTGAAGAAGGGGAGGAATGTGTGTTTATGTGTGGGGAGTTTATTTCTGATGTGCTGCTACAGTTGTAACACTGGAGCTAGAGAAAATAAAGCATTGATCTTTGATGTGTTGTGGACTCTGTGGTGGGAATGTTGAAATTAGAGCCGTGTGGATGGAAAGAAGTGACCTAATTTATGGGGCTGTCTCTATTCCCATCTCAAGCATTAACAATCAGGATCTGTAGCTTTGATAGGAACTACTCTTCCAACCTGCTTACCAGAAGGGTAGCAGACTGCCTCCTCGGCCACCTGGAGACACAGTTTCATGCCAGGGAAGGGCTGGGAGCCTCTTGGGTGACTTTTCATTATGCAGGGGAAAGGGGTGGCTTTCTTTCTTGGTGGGGGCGTGTCTCAGTTTCTTAGGGCTGCCATAACAAAATACTGCAAAGCAAGTGGCTTTAAAGAACAGAAATTTATTTTCTCACGAAACTGCTCCATGCTTCTCCTAGCGGCTGTGGCATCACTCAAGAGTCCTCTCAAACATGTCAGAAAAAGAAAAAAAGCTGGTTGCCATGGAGTTGACTCTGACTCATGACAGCTGCATGTGTGTCAGAGTAGATGTGCACTCCATAGGGTTTTCAGTGGCTGATTTCTCAGAAGTAGATCTCCAGGCTTTTTTTCCAAGGTGCCTCTGGATGTACTTTCTGTTAGCAGCCAAGCGTGCTAACTGTTTGCACCACCCAGGGACTCCATCAATATGTTCACACTCCTCAATTTCCAGCCCGAGAGAGGACATGAAAAGGTGTTCCCTCTGTTTCTGGGCCAAGGTCTTCTTCCAGGATAAGGTTTCCTCTCCGAGTTTCCAAGCCCTCTATTAGATTGGCCACCCTTTCTGGGAGAGACTCCATTCTTGCCCACGTGAGTGGCCTGAATGGAACTAACATCACAGAGACGAGTATAATAAACCCAGTGTTATACAAGAGAGACACACACAACTAGTGGGTGGGAGTGGAGGTGATGTATTATTGCTGACAGGGAAATAAAGAATGGTCTCTGGTCTAAGGCAGAATGTAGCAAGTGCCCTAAGAGTAGTGAATGCGATTTGAGAAAAAAGAGCTTGGTCTGCAGCATAAGGACATTGGGAGATGCCCTAGTGGTAAGCTGTAAGTAAGAGCTTTGACTGCCATGGTAAGAGCTTGGCCTTTATAATCAGTAGGTAATAGGGAGTCATTAAGGCTCTTTGGGAAGGGGATATTATGATTAGAGCCCTGCTTTAGGAAAAGTCATGTGGCAGAAGTGGACAGGGTGAAGTCAAGAAGGAACACCCGGAGGCCACGAGATGGTTGGTTTGGTGTTATGTTGAGGTTGTCCAGAAGAAGAATGACTAAGGGAAAAAGGCAAGAGAGGCTGGAACAGAATTAGAGGGACTAATGAATGTAGAAGTAGATTTAACAGAGGCTTGGGTGGCACAGGACTGTGGGGCAAGATGAGAATAGGCTGGTTGAGGGAAGTGGCAGTGTCAGGAGGAAGACCTGGGTGAGAGAAGAAAAGCAGTTGGTGGTAGAGAAGATGCTTTGGCTCTAAACCTGCTGGTCTCTCCTTAGTTCTCTTTCTCCTTGGGCATGCAGAGCACTTTGGGTGCTCTCTTTTAAGTTCCTTCACTTGTCTTGCATTTCCTGCCATCTTCCAGGTCACCCACCTTTGTGACTACCTTCTCAGCCTCCCTCATCAGTTTCACATCCTTTCTGGGCCTCCTAAGTATGGCTGCTGGGA